GGGGGACTTGAAATGCTGTTGTGATTGGGTTACTATGATTTACAAATAAGTGCTCTTCTTTAAAAAAACTTAAATGAATGCCACTAAGATTATAGTGGAAGTCAGAGTATATAACTAGAGAGAAACATTGTATTATCCTTACAACTTTTTTTTCGTGTACGCGTTGGGTTTTTGTATGTATGTAGACATTGTTTTCGTTTTGTAAAGGAAATTGTGTGTGATCGCTAAAAAACTTTTGTCATGTGAAAAAAATCTAATTGAGTGCCTTTTGGTAGCCGAATTTTATGGAGAGGAGTTTGGGTCTTGCTCTAGTGAGAGACTTAATAAATATTTGTAATCCATTCAATTTAACTTTCTTACAAAAAAAACAAAATTTTAGAACTCAACATTTTCAAAATTGAAGTATTTACCACCTTTTTATAATTTCAAAGTACTCTTATTTGTTGATTCTTTTATCCTAATAACTTTCATCAGATCCTAGGACATAATAATAGTTGGTAAAAACGAATCAGATGACGTATTTTAATATTATAGAAATATTGACTACATATTTTGATATTGCTACCAAAAAATTAAAACATCAAAATAATTATACCAAGTTTTTATTGATGGCATTAGTAGTGAACAATTTCATGAGGAAAAATTTTCAAACTAGAATTGGGCACTAGAGGCTGTTATTGACTTATTGTGATAGTAATAACAATAAATACTTCATCCTTTCTAGAATTCTTCAAACGTGAGGTTGGGCACACAGATTCAGAAACACCAATAAAGCTATGTTTAAAAAACCGACCCGACCCAGCCGGGTTGACCCGGAACCCGGTGACCCGGACAAAAATCCGGTTTGGTTTCTTTAAAACCCGAAAATAGTCAAAAACCGGAAAAACCCGGCTGACCCGAAAAAATCCGATCCAGACCCGACCCAAGAGACCCGAAAAACCCAGGAAAACCCGGTTTTCGGTCTTTTCCAAAAAAAAAGTAATTTCTTTTTAAATTTTAATGCATTTTTTAAACCAATAAAATTGCAATTTCAATTCCCTAAAAAGAAAAATTATGTAATACATTTATATATTTATTTAAGAATGAAAATCATGCCAAATTATAATATGAATGTACAATACAAATAAAAATATATAATGAGAGTGTATATAATTATATGTTTATTATTATTATATAGACGTATAATCGTTGACCGGTTTTCCGGATTTGACCGGGTTGACCCTCCGGGTCCGGGTTGACCCGTGACCCAGTCACATGCCCGGGTCGCTTACCGGTCCGGTTTTTACAACATAGCAATAAAGTAAAGTTTATTCCAAAATTTCACTGTACTTGCTACTATCGTATACGAGTAATAAAAGATGCTACAGTAAAAGGGGAGTTTAATTTTACGCGCCACACATAAGAGAGCCATGTTTGATTGGACTAAACATAATTTAAAATAGTACAACTAAGCCAAAAGGACATCTATCAAAGCACATGGCACCCTTACACAATTCTGATTTAGAGAGAACTACAAAATCCCAAAAAATAAATATTCCGTCAAGACAAGCCATCACTTCTTATACCATATACGGGAATTACAATCCACACTTTCTTTCAGTATAAATAAGACAAGACACACCACACACGGTTTTAATGGATGAGAAGATTTCAATTGATGAGCTTCTACCATTGGAGGGGGATTCTAGGCTTGGTAACTTCATTATTGACTCTCATGATCATGTTGAAACATTTTCTTCTTTCATGTCCCAAACTGAAAGTGAGGGAGAAGAAGTGTTAGTTGGTATAAAAAAGTTAGATATGAAAAATGATGAAAGGAAGCACCTAATATAAAAGCTTTTAATTTTGGTTGATGAAAAAACTCTACCCAAAGGTGCCATATGACAGATTGCAACAAAATTTAGAATTCACAAAATAACAGTGTGGATATCATGGTCTGCAACAAAAGTTCAAGTAGCTAGAGGTACACTGATTAATGTTCAAAATAGGAAAAAAAGGGAGTGGAAGGAAATCTCAACCTTTTAATTTAGACACTTCATGTTGTACCTCTTGAGCACATAGCAACAATTAGATCTTTATCTACTCAGCTTGGAACCAGTCACTCAACAATTTATAAGTTGCTAAAAATAGGACAATTTAGAGCTCATACAAATAACATCAAACCTAAACTAAGTCACTCACACATGATAAATCCCCTAGAATACATCATTGGGTCATGTTATGCCAAGTACCGTCCACACAATCCCAATGATAATGTTATTCATATAGATGAGAAGCTATTCTATATGTCACAACAAACACAAATGTTTTACTTGTTTCTTTGGGAGGATGATTCATATAGAAGATGTCAAAAAAAACATCAGGACTCGGGAGTATTGAATATTCGAGGATGGAGTCGTAGTTACAAGAACTTAGGAAGTTTTCTTTTGGACTGAAATTTGCTGTTCTGGTCTGATCTGGTTTGGTAAATGTCCAATCTCTGTGTATTTTATAACTACAGAAGTCTGATCTGGTCTAGTTTGATCTGAGACTGAAAACAGTCCAAAAGAAAACATCCTTAAGCTTGCAAAATCCAATAATACAAAATCTGCTGCATAATTAAATACACCACTAGCAAAAAAAAAAAAAATACACCAAACACATAGTCACATACGGAGTATAAAGAAAGAGATGGAATCATGGAAGAGCTTGATCTCTCGGACTCATAGCGACTATATGGTATTTTCAACCTCCGCCGTAATTGAAGCTGGCAACATTGAATAAGAGCAAGGCTAAAAATAGTTTTTACATTGTTTATGCATGTTTAGGGTCCGACCCAAATTTACCATTGGGTCTTATATTTGAAAAATTAGAAAGTTTTGCTGCACAAAATGTACACTCCGTATACATTTGCAATTATTGGTTCACTAATTTTTATTTTGATTGTGAAAAGACTTGTATGAAGATAATGAAAAAAGTCGAAATTACAACAAGATAAACCCTATTAAATAAGTCTTAACAACTTGATGGTCAGACTTAAACAAATCAAGTATAACTTGGCTTCTTTGCTCGAAATTTGAAGACGGACTAAAAAGTGAAATAGACAATTGTATCAAACCATCCACATTCGAACTCAACCAATCTCAATAAAATAAAAGTAAAACAATCCAGCTCTAGTAATAATTTACACCAAAATGGAAAAATAGACGACCAACAAATTTTAATTAATATCTTAGAAGAAAATTCCCATGTGGCTGCTCTCCCCCAATCCTCACTGCCTACCCAAAAACCGGTACTTCCTCTTCCTCTATCAAAACCTCCCCGATGAAGTGCTCTTCCTATTGACCCCTGAGTTTGATCAATTAATAATGGAGCGATTGAGGTTACAAAAAGAGGAGTAAATTAAAGGTTGGTTTATACTCACTAATTGCTACATTATTTTGACATAACTGTAATGAAGCAACACGTGATATACTAAAGTTCTGACATTAGTATGGGTGACTAATGTAGAACCGCTCTGAGATATACATGAGATTTAAATTTTGTGTGGTAAATGTGAAGTAAATGACCCTACATGGAATGAAGCTAACATAATTTTGTGTTTGATGATAGTGAGGTAAATTTTCTCTTTTGGTTCCCCACATAGTTTCACAGCAAACAAAGATGGCAAAGAGCAAATTTAAAACCACCGCAAAGATGGCATAGTTTCATTTTGATGATTTTGTGCTATATTCAACGGCTTTCTTATTCAACTTACAGTCAAAAACATTATATGAAGTGTAGCGGAGATTTTCTCCGGTCAAAGGTTTTATTTGAGCACAAGGAGGGTCCGAGCCAGCAGCCTTACCTTTGGCTAGGCATGGACCGGTTCCGGGCCGGGCTGGTCCAAACCGGACTTTTTGTTTGTGGGTAAAGGCTCGGAACCGGCCCGGGATTCCACCGGGACTATGGGTGGACTCGGTTCGGGCCGGGCCCGGTTTGGGTCTTGAACCGGCCGGGTCTCGGTGCACCAAAAGGAGGGCCTGGACCCGAACCGGTGACTCCCGGTTCCAGGCTAGACCGGGTCGGGCCACCCGGGTCATAATTTTTTTTGCTTCTCTTATTTAACCCCCTATCCCTCCCCCTCAAACCCAAACCACCCCAAACCACCTCAAATGGCCCAAAATACCTAATCCAACCCAAAATTTAAAAAAAATTCAAAAAAAAAAAAAATTCCGGCCCGGCCCTGGCCCGAACCGGCCGGGCCGGTTCACCAAATGGAGTGCCCGGGCCCGGAACCGGTATCCACCGGGCCGGTTCGACCCAAACCGCCGTTGGACCGGGCCACCGGGCCGGTTGCTACAGTGGGCAGGCCGGGCCAGTTCCGGGTCGGGCCGCCCGGCCCGAGTCCACCCCTAACCGGGACCGGACCGGGCTCGGGTTATATATTTATTTTTTTAGCTTTTCTAATTAATTCCAACACCCCACCCCCAACCCCCCAAAACACCCAGCCCAACCCGCCTACCACCAAAAAAATTTTAAAAAACGAAAAAAAAAATTGGGCTTGGACCAGACCTGGCCAGGCCGGTACCAAAGAAGGTGCAGCCCGGAACCACCCCCAACAATCCCCTGGCCGGTCCTAGGCCCGGAACCGGTCCCAGTTAACCAGGCCAGTCCGGTCCCGCACATTGGCAGTCCGGTCCAGTTCCTGGGCTGGTCAAACCAGAACCGAATCACCCCTACCTTTGGCACCAGCAAAAACATCATTGATGAGGGTTGTGTATCTTCAACATTCACCTTCGGGGAATGAGGAAAACAATCCCATCGTTCATGAAGAGATTTTTGAGAATCCGCAAAAGCTAATTTTTTACATCATATCATATACTCTGTATACAGCGGCGGAGCCAGAATGTAGTGTAAATGGTGTCAATTTATAAAAGATTGTCTATATTATACATAGAATTTTTATTCTTCAGTGGTATCAATTTAAAATTAAAAAAAAAAATTATATACGTATACATGGAGAAAAACAAAATCAATGGTGTCAATTGACGTTGTCCGTATATTAGATTTTTCATAAATGAATTGATAATATATTTTTTTTAATTAATCCATTGCAATTCAAATGAAAATATACATGGTGAACAATGGAAATGAAAGAAAGCCCCGAGAGTAAATTGCAAACATGAAGTTCCATTCAAGATCATTACTGAAGCCATGAAAGATTAAAAGATAGAAAGAGAGAAACAAAAGATGCATAATTTAGGGCTTTAGGCATCAGGAATGTATAAAAAGCATAGTTGAGCAACAAATGGATTTGGAAACAGCAAAGATGGAAGGATTCAAGTGCATGTCACTATGTCAGGTTGATCAACTTTTAGCTCATCACCTTGCCAACTCCATGCAATGTCTTTCAAGCCCGGCCTTATTCCTTGCTTCATGATATTCGTATACTCGAGCGTATCGCCATCTGACTTCTTCATCTCAACCATATGAAAAGCAGGAGTGACTTCAAATATTTCAGCATCAATGGATAAAACCCCTTTTCTTCCCAGTTTCAACCCCTCTAATTTCAAAGACCCCCCTTCCTTCTTTGTTACTTTCAGCTGTAACTCCTTAGCTGTGTCCTCAAGCTTCGATATGATAGTTTGCGCTGGCTGCATTGATGTAAACCTTGACTCTCTCTTCTCATCGCTTCTTCTTCCCACCTCAAACAGTCCTGACAAGTCAAACCCCGAAGAATAAGATATAATGTCAAACGCATTTAAGTTTGTGAGTTTTGTAGACTCCAGCTTCTTCTTCAGCGTCTCTCCTACTTCTGGGTCCTCCTGGTTTGGTTTTGATGCTTTCAGATCCAACCCTTTCCGGAACCAGCAATTACCCATTATTTTGGAAATGGAGATCCGCGTGCTCGGGTTCGGGTCCAATATCTTCGAAATCAGCTTGCATGCATCTGTTGAGAGCCACTTAGGGCACTTAAACTCGGCTTGACATATCTTCCTATACATCTCCATCAGGTTTTGGTCTTGGAAAGGGAGATATCCAGACAAGAGAACGTATAAGATGACCCCGCAAGACCAAATATCGGCTTTAGCACCTTCATAACCTCTTCGGTTAATAACTTCCGGGGAAACATAGGCTGGAGTCCCACACGTTGTGTGAAGCAACCCATCTTGGCGTTTAGATTCGGAAAGTGCACTCAATCCAAAATCTGTGATCTTTAGATTCCCATCTTCATCTAGAAGAAGATTTTCAGGTTTTAAATCCCGGTGATAAACACCCCTGCTGTGACAAAAGTCGACTGCACTTATCAGCTGTTGGAAATACTTTCTTGCCACATCAGGCTTCATCTTGCCTTTGGCAACCTTGGCAAAGAGCTCGCCACCTTTGGCGTATTCCAGAACTATGTAAATCTTTGTCTTGCTGGCCATGACCTCGTAAAGTTGGACTATGTTCGGATGTCGGACCATTTTCATAATGGAAATCTCCCGCTCAATTTGCTCCATCATTCCAACCTTAAAGATTTTCTCCTTGTCGATGATTTTGATGGCCACACTCATCCCAGTTTTGAGATTCCTCGCATGGTGCACTTTGGCAAATGTCCCTTGTCCTAACAATTTCCCTAATTCATATCTTTGCATAAGTAAACTCCCTTTACTCTCCATCTCAATGTTTTCTTTGACGAAAGGCAAACTCCGAACGGATTTGCTACTGTTTTAGAACTGCAGGTTTAACCGTCTTCAGAGAGATCGTGAAAAGACACTAATTGTCCCCCGGAACCATTTTTAGCAAAAGCTGAGATTTCTTGGAAGAATCCAAGCTGGTGGGATAATATTATTATGGCAATCTCATCGATGGTATTAGAGGAAGGCTCAGATTGAGCTCTGACCTCGTCAAAATCAAACAAACACTTCCTAGCGGGAAAGCACATCTTTCTGCATTCCCTACTGTCCTTTATAATGAGCCAAGGGTAACTGAAATAGCTCCAAGGCCTTTGCAGCTAACACGGAAAATAGGAAGTTCCAGAAGTATAGATGCTGGTTGGATCTGAATTGTAAACTGAAACATAACACAGCAGTCATGAAATCAGTCAGTATAAGAAAATACACAAAATTGAATCTTTTGATGGAACTGCTATACAAATTAATATTAAAACACACCAAAATGAAGCTTTTGAATCTTGATGGAATTGCATAACAGATTACTAAATCTTATAATCAGTGCATAACTATAATGCCATCATGGACACATATGAGCAATTAAGTATTGAATTCAATTCCGAAAATATAAAGAAACATATAAATCAAATGATGACATAAAAATCAAACCAAAAAGCCACAACCTGAGCAAAAACAGAGCTTTATAAATGGATGACAAATTATGAGCAATATTCACATATTCCTGCCTTTCGAGCCGTACACATTACACACACATACATACATCCACAAATGCAAATAATTACTTAAACTCATAAACTAAAATTCTCACTAATAGAACACAGAGATGGAAGAATTTCTTCATCCAGATCACTCCAAGGAAACAGTGTTTGCCAATTCCTTTTTCATTGCCTTCTTTTTATAAAGGAGAGGAATAAATGCAAACACCAGATGAGTAAGACAAATATATTTCATTTTTAACAACAAAAACACAAACAAACGACACCCAAAAAGACTCCAAACGAACATTGAAAATCATTGCTTGATAAATGTATAAAAACTATATCTTGGCTGACCTGGAAAAAATTATAAAAGAAAAGAACATTGATTTTAAGGAAAAACTGAGAATATTTTGTGTGAAATACCTGGGAGAGTGAAGAAGATGGAGGAATCAACCCTGGCCGCTGGAACGAAAACGAGAAGGGATTGTGTGTATATACATACTACTGTTAGCCCATTACGGATTAATAATTGAGGCCCTTGTCGGCTACCAATCATGGGTTTGTTTATTTTGGGTGGATACAATGAATTGTATCCTTAAAATACATAAAAGCCCTTCTTAGATGGTGGAATATACCGTTTGTGTACTTTTGTAAATTTCTTATTTCCAGCATTATTGCGTGACCCAAAATAATGCAGTCGGGATGATGCTCAAATTTGATTCATGTTACCGTAAAAAAAAATTGATTCATGTTTAACTTGATGAGACAGTGTTCTTAAGTTTGAACCAATTGTATCATTGTACGTAGTATGTGTATATATTTTCCCCATAAGGTAGCACTTTTTACTTGCTTGGTATTTACTTATGAAAAAATGACCATACGTATATTACGTAGTACTAACTAACGGCGTTTTAGCCGAAAAATGACGGTTTGATCACTGTTAGCGTTTTCAATTAGTAAATAGCTGTTCGGCACCAGCATTTTTGGACGGAAATGACAAAATGAAAACGCTGCTAATAGGAGAGTTTATGGTTGGCCTTTTGAAAAATAGCGTTTTCTACTAATTTTATGGTCAAACAGCTAAATTACCAAACATCTTTTGATAACCCGCCAATTTATTCCGATAGTCAAACCCACTGACCGAATCCGTTGTTGACAACCCGCTAACATAACCCGCTATCCGCTGAATGCCAAACATGCCCAAAGTTTTCACGTAGAAATATATACAGTAGCTAGTTTTTTTTTTGAACAAAAATATGATTAGTCACCATATACTAGTAACTAGACAAGAGTCATTATAGTGTACTAGGTATTTCATAGTGATAGATAACTTGTAGATGATGAGTCAAAGGAAACTAGGCATCGAATATGTGGTCTTTTGATTTTTTTGTTTAAATAGGTCATATTTTTAACTTTTACATTTTATTTAGTATTATTCATGAAAAAACCATAAATTATTTATTTATTTGTTTATTTATTTTTTATTCATTTATCTATTTATCCTTTTATACTCATAGAACATCTATTTAATAATCCAGGTCAAACTATGTCATATCATATCAGATTTAAATAGACACAACTGACTTTTTCAGTATTTAAAATATTGAATGTGTATTTGATTGATATAAGTCATAATTTCATGATTTATATATATTTGGATAATTTGATTGCAATATTGTAATGGATCCATATAAACAAAGTTTGATACTTAAAGCCGTTCAAGGGTACCACAGAATTTAGAAAATTAAACTACGACTAGTTATTTAATCATTTTTACCACGAAAAAAGACGATGTAAAATTAAAAACTAAAAACAGCTGATAAGCTAGCCATTCCAAACGCGTCAATACAGGAAGAGTGTAAACACAGCTAAGATTTAAAATAAAAGATCAACTAATATGGATTAGTTTGACAATATTACTATCATGATGACCATCAATTTGGCACGCTTCAAAGTGGAAATAGAGATAATTAATCAAATTAATTAGGATACATTTTGGTCACACTACTTTCCTTATAAGTACACACTACACAATCGATTAGGAATACATTACCAAATAGGACACTACCTCCCACTATCTCCCTTTCAAATTTTTTGACACACTTTCCTTTTATGGACGCACACTTTCCTTTTATGTACGTTTCAAAATAAATGCCACACATCCAATTTGGTAAACAATAGAGTATAAACAGTGCAAAACAATACCAAAACGGTATACTATATAGTAAAATTTATCGCTTAGTAATTTTTTCTCTTAATCGTTATGAAATAAAAGTGTGTCAACGATTTTGAAACGGAGGGAGTAGTAATCAAATAATGAACCAATCGATCCACAATGCACACACAATGGAGGAGCATTAAAAATTATTTTAATTAGTAGAACTTTGAGTGTTAATTAATTAAGAAGTATTTTAAATGTGAGTGATGGAGGAACTAGAATGGCATTTCGGTCTATGGAGTCCCTTGAGAGAGCAATTCAAGTCATGCAATAGGAACTCTTTGATCTTATTAATAGTATATAAAATTTCCCTAATTGCAAGTCAGCGAGTCTTATTTCAGAAAGACACAATGATGATTTTATTTGTACATTTTGTTTATGTCTTAAATTCTGTTAAGGAATTAAGGAATTCTCTGTTTTATAATGTGTTTAGGTAAATTCAACGGCCGAGAGTTATTTACGGAGTATTTCTTACACATCTTTGACCATGAAATTTATATTTGTGTGAGTTTTTGGAAATTTATTTTTGTGTGATTTTTTGGTAGGACCTGTAACTATGTTTCCTAAATCACTTTAATCCATCCAACAATATCTTTTCTTTTCTGATCACGTGAAGGATGGTGGTCAATTAATGGACTTCATCGAATAATACATTGTTACTTCAATCCAAATATTATCAACATTATATTATGCGGTCTCTATTATAGCTAGCATTTTTATGCATTTATGCCACATAAATTGAACCTCAAAAATAAACTTTGAAGTTGCCCTTATCTATAAGTTGTAATTGACAGGCAGTCTCTTCATACATGGATTTTAAGGCTGTGAATCCTCGCGTATTGGCGTAGGCGTGTAATAATACGAGTAGGTTTTATTTGGAAGATTGGTCAAGATGTGGGTGAGATTAGGAGCCCATTTGGTAGTACCAAAATCGGTTGTTTTGGCTGATTCTGCTGAAATTTATGATATTCTGGCTGGAGTGGCTGTTTTGGCTGATTCTGCTGATTTAAGAAAAAAATATTTTAAAAATAAAATTTTAATTAATAAATAAAAGAAAAAATTATATGTAAAAATAGCTAAAATGGTCCTCTACAGTAACTTCAGCCAATACAGCCAGAAAAGTAACTCCAACCTTACTTTTTCGGCTTATTACACAATTCAGCGCGCGAAAGTAAAAATTACGTGTTTGGTGAAAAAGCTGGCTGATAAGCCTGATAAGCCGAAAACAGAGTTCTCCAAACGGGCTCTAGATTTGTAGTTTTGTATGGTGCAACAACCGGCCCACAGGAAGGCAATCAAGTTTTTGGTAAATGCATGGCGATACTCCATTGGCTTACCTGTCCATCCTCGGAGTGTAACAATTGCATTTCTGTATAGGGCAGGCCCGATTATATAAAAGGCCCGGTTCAAAATTGAAAATGAGGCCTTGAAGTATAAAACAAAATATTAATACTCACACCGTTTTTAAATCCTTCGGTTTTTGTGGTTTTTAAGAAGAAAATAGTAGGGGTAGTACAGAGGTGTAAGGTAAATGAAAAAGTAGGAAAGAAAATATATTAAGAAGAGTAAAATAACGATAAAGTATGAAAGAGAAAGTAGTATGCAAGCTCATCCCAAAGGTAAGAGGGCTTTGTGTTAATTACTGTAATTAGGCCTTATGTAATAGAGAAATTGCACAATTGTAATTAACAATTGCATTTTAATTACATATAAACATTACTATATGACGTTTTTTTTAAATACTAAGATAGGAATCTTTAATAAAATAAAAAAGAATTTTGTATATTATGTAGACTATTTAAAAGTTTGGGCCTTCTGAATCGAGAGGCCCTGTGCGGTAGCACTTCTTGTACGCCCTCGTCTACGACCCTGTTTCTGTATCTTTCGCCCAATGTTGGTAATCCAATACGGAATACTATTCTCTATAGTCGGTACACAAACCCAAAAATAGTTGAGTCATGTACTCCTGTTTCCTGTGTACAGACAATTTGACTGATGTTTTATGAAGAAAATCGTTTTTTCACATAGACAAAAATAAGATAGTTGTCAGTATGACAGACACTTTAGACGAGAATTTTTCATAAAATGTTTGTATTGCAGACAATTTTAAATGAGAATTTTAAACGAGAATTTTAAAATGTCTATGATACATACAATTTTTTTATTTTTGTCTGTGTGAAAATCAGTTTTCTTCATAAAATGCTGATCAATTGTTTGTCTATAGACAATTTGACCAGCGTGTAACCCGGCGTGTAAAAAGTGACATGTATAAAGGGAATTTTCCAAAATAGTTTAGGTGTTTTGAATCATGATATGATGTTCTTAATTTTTACTTGAAGCCTTGAACTTATTTCAATCTTACACTAGATCAAACTAGACGATCAAACAAGATCAGACTTGGACAGTTATAAAATGCACAGATCAGCCATTTCAGACTAGTTTAGACCAAATCAAATTAGACAAGATCAAATTAGATCAGAAAGTTTCCGTCCGAGTAAATACATCCTTAGACTCTAATTTTTATTTTGAGAAAATCGCTAATGATAGAACTAAAATATACTACATCTGTCTAGTTCAAAGGTTCCCAACACAAATGACACGATTGTTTAGTCAATGATAAAATATGCTTATTCGAGTATATTTTGAGAAATAATTTTTATGAGTATATAATATAATGAGTTATTGGTGATAACTCTGATGTTATAGATGTTTTAGTGTTAATATTTGATGATTAAATTATTGTTCAAGGTACTAAATTATTTCCTAAAATAGAAAATGAGAACCTTTAACCGGGATGTCCAAAATTAATAGAAAGTGAGGACCTTTGAATGGAACGGATGGAGTGTCATTCTTCCAAAAATAGAATTATTCTTCACTACAAATAACCTTAAAAACATTCTTATATTTAAGGTTAAAATAATTTAAATACACCGAACTTTTGAAGAGTGTGAGGTAAACACCCCATACTTGCATAACTAATATAATTTACCCCGGACTTTATATAAAAAGTTATCTTAGCATCATGATCATATGTTTTTTCTTTCGCAAATGTAAATTTATAGTGTTAAGCAAATAATTTAAATATTCTAACCATTTGTTAGTGTGCAATTAACAATATAAACTTATTTGTTAACGTTATTTATTTCAAATATTGAAGCTTAGATTAGTAATTTAATCCTTATAAATGCCCAAAGTATTTTAAATTTTATATTTTTAACACTATAAATTTACATTTGTGAAAGAAAAAACATATGATGATGATGCTAAGATAATTTTTTATATAAACTTTGGGTGTTTTTAACATACCACAATTTTAAATTAAATTTGGAGTGCTTGCCTCACACACC